TTGTTGATCATTATAAATATTTAATTTTTGAATTATTCTAATCACGTATTACCAAGTGATAAATGTAATTTGCCAGGCATTATCTGTGATGACTTTTAATTTGTGTCAACTTTAATCTCCAGTTTCTCACTTAACAAATAACAGCGGAATGTGAAAAAACAAACAAGGTTTATTTGAGAAAAGTTCACGACCTTTTTCGGATAATCATGTCAGCAATTGTGCCTTGTAATAACTTGTGTCAGTAAATTCTTTGGCATTATTACAACTGTTGATCAAAATTGAGAACCTTCATTGAGGTGTTAAATTATATTGCTGTATCACTAAATGCTCCAGCGAAAATCCTGATGAAATTTAAATCTTTTGTATACAAGTGAATCTTAACCAAATGAGTTTTGTTGACTGTCTGGGTTGGGTGCCTCTACACCAAACTGTGATGGCATGCGATCCTCTTGCGAACAAATCAGTAAATTGGAATAAAACTTGACAAGAGAAATGAGCCTAACAATGCCTATTGTTGACACCACACAAACCTGAAGTTGTTAAATTCTGTTAAGCGTAAAAATTGTAAAATCCTATCTTTTCAGAATCAGTCAAACTTATTAATTATGAAATTTACAAATGGCTGTCAAAACTAGAATTTTTGACAGAAGTAACCCGCTGAGCATGATAATTAATATTGTGGCCAGGATATTTTGTGTGAGAAAGTTTGGAAGGCTTGTCATGGTTGTTTTGTTTATTATTCTCGATGAATCATCTTTTTTAATTGAATTTGACACGTACTTGTTAAATAGAAACAAAGAAATATGGGTGTCTTCTTCATTGAGTTTTTATGAGAAGAGAATAGGTCATTGTATTCTGATTGGATAAATTAATATTTTCATAGTTGGTGTTCAGTTGTTGACAGTTTTCTTGTGGAAACATCTTGACGTTCATTCCTATTTGTCTCATTAATGAATTGTCAGTTGTGTTAGTGAACGATCGATAGAAAATAAACATGTCTACAGACCAGAGATCTTAGTCAACAAGGTCTACGACTCATTTATCTCTAGTCTTATTTCATAGTCCTCGCCACCACTATACAGACCAGAGATCTTAGTCAACAAGTACGACTCATTTACCTCTAGTCTAATTTCATAGTCCTCACCACCAATATACAGACCAGAGATCTTAGTCAACAAGGTCTATGACTCATTTATCTCTAGTCTTATTTCAATATCCTCACCACCAATATAAGATAAACATCCTGAATTTTTAACTTTTGTTTCATAAAAATATTACATACAGGTACAGAAAAATTTGATTTTTTTAGCAGAATTTCAGTTTGATATTTAGAAGATTTTGATATCCTAACAGACATATGAAAGCTGATATCATGTAATGTTTTCAGTACCTGATTGTAGCTGGCGGTCTCGACTGTCAATATTATGACAGAACAATAATATTTAACTACCGTGTACCTTTCTGAGAAGTGACCTCTATTACAGGTCAATATTTGAACCAGTTAAACAATTGACAAGATAGACCACTCGATAATGGACGGATCTTGTTTGGCTTTCGTAGCAGAGGCCTTTTCTAATTAGGGTAATCAGAATAGGCTGATTGATACCTAGCTGTCACTGTCTTCAGGTTTTCCCAGGTGTGCCAGTAAAACAAACATCTCAGATGCTCAGGTACGACAACAGAATCACATCTACAAATAAGATTAGAGAGCTAATGACCTGAGAGATCCGGGGTTAACATGGGATTAGGGTCTGGTAAAGCTGCATGGTTAGCTTAACACAGACAGAGATACTGACCTCAGGACGTATGTACTATACCTACAGTGGCAGATACAGAGGGTTTTTAAAAAAGCAGAGGCAGGATATAGTGGTTAGGGGGTAATCGCTCCGCTCCATCAACCAGTCCTCAGAACTATATATGTCTTGGTTAGGAACACAAGTTTGAAGGTGACAGCATAGGTATAGATAATAGGTTAAAAATAAATAAGTAACTTAAGTACATGCATGTGTACCGGAAACTATTTATTCTACACAAATGAAAAAAAAGTCTAACACAATAGTTTTTCAAAATATATAATGTGGAAACGAAACAGTTTAAAGTTAAGCCAATGTATATATATAGGCAATGACTAATGGGTATTTGGGTGATTTTTCGAATGCATTTAAAAAAAAGTGTTATTCTGGAATGCCTGTGGCATCTATAAACAGCCAGGCCTGAGAAAGTTTACCTGGTCTAAAATCTTGTTAAGGTAATAACGGTCAACCAGGTAGAGTGGTATCTTACAGGGAATCTAAACTTTGTTGATGTAACCGGGGGCCGTAATTAGCCCCCTCGGACAGGACACAATGATGGATGTGGCTTGCGGCCAGTATTACCAGTTGTTGATATAAGACAGTGGACCCTGCCATTATATGAACCTGTGATGAAACCTGAGGTTTGATTCATGTTAATTTACTGTGTCCAACAATCCGTTTCTTTGTCAGCCCTAGGTAGCCTTGTTTTGGGGTTTGGTTCCTTTGTCAGCCCTAGGTAGCCTTGTTTTGGGGTTTGGTTCCTTTGTCAGCCCTAGGTAGCCTTGTTTTGGGGTATGATTCCTTTGTCAGCCCTAGGTAGCCTTGTTTTGGGGTTTGGTTCCTTTGTCAGTCCTAGGTAGCCTTGTTTTGGGGTTTGGTTCCTTTGTCAGTCCTAGGTAGCCTTGTTTTGGGGTTTGGTTCCTTTGTCAGCCCTAGGTAGCCTTGTTTTGGGGTTTGGTTCCTTTGTTACTGTGGGTTGTATGGATCAATAATGCGGAGAGCTGGGAGGAGAAGGAGAATTTGACACCCCCTACTGTCATTCAGGAAAGTACAAACTTTACAGCGGTTGTGACTTCAGGACATCCTTTTGTTGTGGCGAGAACAATATGTCAGAAGTGGTGTGATTATCACCGTAAGAATATACAATAAAATCTTCATGTTTATTCATGATCGGAAGTGGGATAACTGCTCTCCTGTCCTGTCAGATTCTTATTCTCATTTCCATGACTCGGTCCACTGGTACTCGTTTGGTAGTACTAAGGGATATGTGAGCGGGAATGCGATGAGGTTTACGGTACAGGTAAACCGTCTACACAGCTGAGTGTACTACACTATGACTCCCTAGTCATCATTGTTACAGCCCTATACAATGAGGATCATACGATCACTTGTATGTTTCTAATCAAGTTCTATCCACACTGGGTTCAATAAGCCAAGACCACATAAGGAAACTGTAGAACACTGACATAGATTTTACAATTTGAATTTACCTGGTGTTTCATTGGAATTCACACAGATTTGAATTTCAACTCATCCTTTATGGAATATGAATTCACAAAGTGTTGAATTTTAATCTATCCAGTGTTGCATTTTAAACTATCCTGCGTGGAATTTGAATTCAAAGGTGTTGAATGTGAATTCACAGTGTGGAATTTGAATTCATCCTGTGTTGAATTTGAATTCAAAGGGTGTTGAATTGAAATTCACACTGATTAATTGGAATTCACACTGATTAATTGAAATTCACACTAATAAATTGGAATTCACCAGTCAAATGTTGAATTTGCATACATGTACATATTGCGCTGTAATTTAAGGACAACACAATATAATTTCACAGTTACATAATGCAACCATTTCCAATTTATATTTGACCTATAACACTTTTACAATTGTTCAAGATTTTAAAAGCTGCTCGATTCCATTTCTCTGATATATCCAATATTTTTCACACTATTTCTATTTTTCACACTATTTCTATTTTTCACACTATTTCTCACACTATTTCTATTTTTCACACTATTTCTATTTTTCACACTATTTCTCACACTATTTCTATTTTTCACACTATTTCTATTTTTCACACTATTTCTCACACTATTTCTATTTTTCACACTATTTCTATTTTTCACACTATTTCTCACACTATTTCTATTTTTCACACTATTTCTATTTTTCTCAAAATCTTTGCAATCTTGCGATGTTTTCAGAATTCGGCTAAATTGGAAACCAACTTTTAAAGCCTACTATAACTTCCTGTTGAATATAAACCCTTAGTCATGTGTTGGTGAATATAAATCCTTAGTCATGCGTTGGCGAATATAAATCCTTAGTCATACGTCGGTGAATATAAATCCTTAGTCATGTGTTGGCGAACATAAATCCTTAGTCATGCGTTGGCGAATATAAATCCTTAGTCATACGTTGGCGTAAATAGCCTGTCTATACAGACCATCTGTTTATCAAGACTTATCTCCCTTGGGTGGTCTAAATTAACAGTTTTCACTGGATAGTTTTGAAGTGATAACAAAATATGTTTCATCCTATTAACACATTCAGGCCTGAAAATATGTGGATGCTTCTAATAATAAACTTGCTGATGACTTGATGACAAGTGGGGGCACTAGTTGTGTCAATTCAGCCTTTCAACTTTTTCATGGGGAGGGTACTGCATGTCAAAATGTCATGCCCCAAAAATAGTTTCAATGATGCCTATTTGACTTAAATAATCATATGAAAATGTAATTTATGGTATTGTATGCAAGGTTGAGTAAATTGAACAATTTGGGGAATTCATCTGAATTTTTAATTTTAAGTAAATCAGAAGAAAAATAGGGATTTTCCCCTTCAAAATAGGAAGCCTTGTCAAATATGATGGTTTAATGAAAGGTTCAAATATTCAGGTACATCCAAATCTGTACAAACTGTAAATTAGGATATATCAAACATCTTTAGAAAAGTTTTGGTTTTCATATTCTGAAGTAAATCATTCAATTGAAAACTATTTGTACTTTCTTTTAAAAGATTAATAGGTGATTTATGAAAAAAAATCATACACTTTACTTCGCAAGCCTAAAATGAGATCAAAGTATGAATAAATGGAGACGCATTATAAGCATTTCTGTCCCTGTAATCTCTGAGCTGGAGAATTGTACATCTAGTGATCTGTATAGTGAGTTAAGGAGGAAGATCAGTGGACGAGAAATCACCCAGGCGAAACAGTAAGTATCTATTTCTATTTATATGGCAGTTTTGAATATAGCGGAGGAGTAAACACCATCATTGTACGATCTAGTGGCCACATTTTCTATAGATAATTGCCTAAAGAATAAAAAAAAAGTGGCAGTTTGAAGAGAAACAATTGTAAACAGATAATTTAAAAGTAGCGATTTGGGGCTACTTTACTAGTGTTGAATTACACTTGTTGGAGAAATGGTGCTTGACGTTTGTATTCTTTGCATTATCGTAACTTCTACATTGGCACATAGCTCTGTAATTCCATCTTGGAGGGTCGTTAGGTGTCTTTTGACAAACCATCGCTCAATAGATGCCAGATTTACATTTTTTCTTTGACAGTTGCCGGTTCATTGACTGACTTTTTACGGTTTCTTTTGGTGGACTTTGCTTGGTTTGACATCACGAGGCTTATCTGACATGGTATTATTTCTCCACCAGGGGGAGTTGTATTCACCTTCTACCATCCTTCTTGCTGCCTTACAGATAGCAATCTTGTACAGACATCCTCAGATCGTGTGCCGAAGGTGCTCTATCCATGCTGATATGTGTGTTAGTCACTGGGTTGTGTCCCTTTATCACCAGGTATCAATCCGTATTATCTACGTTACCATTGTAGCGACCAGAATTCGATCTGTCATAAAATCGACACAGTACATATGTCAAAACACGTTTACCAGTAATTACTACGGAAACTTGGAGTTGATGTTGTCAGGAAAATTGCTATTGGTTAAAGGATATGTTTATTTGTTGTTTAATCTGTAAGTCTTTAGAACGCACTGGTGCCGGAGATTTCTTTAAATGATAGCCATCACAGTTTGAATCAGACTCTTCAGTAATCAGGTGACAGATAAAATTATCACGATCGACAGCGTAGATTTCTTGCACCAAAATTACTAATGCTACGACTGTTGGTAACGTTTGTAAACAAATGCATGCCAATCGAGTACGCCTTTTTAGAAGAAGTAACATTGGAATCAGCACATAGATTTAATTAGGGTTTTGTTCTTGTGCTTGCGGTTCGGCGGGCGTAGTATAATTGGTAGGTTGTAACATTTCGTACGACCACGATGTTATCACCAGTAGCGCTTAGATCATACAGTCTGGCGAGTTTCCTCCACGAGCAGTCACGGACAGTTTTCATGTAGGCCCATCAAACCAGTGTCAACAATCGCCTCATTCACGTCAGGTGGAAGTGGGCGCCGACACGCGCGTCAGCAATGTAGACACAAAGTCGACTTCTCTGAAAACAAAAAATGGCAATTGACTTTTGTTTTGTTTCAGTAGCAAATCACCTAATAATATTGATATACCCAATGGAGTGGCAGGATTTATCACTTGATCATCAATACCGGGTTACTAGGTACACAGTCAGTACGATTACATTGGTTAAGGATGACGGCTCCTTTAGTGACCTCTCTCCACAGGGGCTGATGACATCATCACAAGTTGGTTATATTTTCCCCCATTGTCAAACATTCAAGCATACATTTATGTTTTTAATGGTCCCCGTAAACAAGTTACGGACACATAATATGTCCATCAGATAGATAGATATCTGAATTATTGCTCAGCGACGTCCATTATAAGCTACACGCTCTTGTCCGAAACTTGCTGAAGGATGAAATTTTCATGCTTGTAGAACATGCTTCAGTGAATTTTGGTAAGGGTAATTAAATTATTGTTTATTCTTATTCATTTAATTGTTAAAATAACAGACAATTCTTATTGAAGTACGGCAATGCCTGAACCATCTATCGCAATATGTAATTCTAAACGTGTTTACTATATAGAAGGTCAACCAAAACGACCTTCATACACCAACTCGTTTCTAGTTTGAAACGTAAATTATTGACGGTATATTGTTATAACAATTAATATCAATAGACTGTAGATATAACGAATTCCCAGGATGGAATTAAATCAGTCAATGACTAAAACATCTATACTCTCTAAACAAACTGTGATAACATCCTAGCTGTCTGTTTCGAGGTTTCAGGTTTCCGTCATTATGTATGTTTTGTGGTCGTAGGTTTCTATAGAAGGTGATGGTTATTCATGTCGGTACAAATTTATTCATATTGATGCTTGAGAAATTTACATTCCCTCCTACCAAATCATCTTTTATTTATACCAATATCATACAGATATGTTCTGTTCCTCTCAAACCGCTCTCAAACAAACAAAACACTTACATTGGTTGTCAAATGCTCCAATAATCTGTCTACTGGACCATACACATTTTATTTTAATGCGGTTCTTCAGTTGATTATAATGATAATTACATATAATTTTCTCATTTTTGACTTCAAATATAATTATATACATAAATGAATTGTTTACAAGTTAACCAAGATATCAATTTCCATACAAGCTGTGCTTTCTTGACACTGTGAATCTGTATTCACTTTATATTGGTCTTAATATTTTGTGGTGTCTGTTTGACATTCACAGTGTCAAATGTTGACCTTTACTTTCAGAGATATGATTGTATGACTTTTGTACTATATCCAAGATCTTTTTGTCATTTATAGGAGTGTTCAATATTGAATATCCAAGATCTGTTTGACATATAAAGAGTGTTCAATATTGAATATCCAAGATCTGTTTGACATATATAAAGTGTTCAATATTGAATATCCAAGATCTGTTTGACATTTATAAAGTGTTCAATATTGTTCAATGTTGAATATCCGAGATCTTTTTCTCATTTATAGGAGTGTTCAATATTGAATATCCAGGATCTGTTTGACATATATAGAGTGTTCAATATTGAATATCCAAGATCTGTTTGACATATATAGAGTGTTCAATGTTGAATATCCAAGATCTTTTTGTCATTTATAGGAGTGTTCAATATTGAATATCCAAGATCTGTTTGACATTTATAGAGTGTGCAATGTTGAATATCCAAGATCTGTTTGACATATATAGAGTGTTCAATGTTGAATATCCAAGATCTTTTTGTCTTTTATAGGAGTGTTCAATATTGAATATCCAAGATCTGTTTGACATTTATAGAGTGTTCAATGTTGAATATCCAAGATCTGTTTGACATTTATAGAGTGTCATTAATTTAGTCTTACTATTTTTAGAAACATCAGGTCAATATTTATTTGATGCTATCTTTCAATCGTGATGTTACAATGCTTTCTGTCAATTGCAGTACTTTCCTCTGTACAATGCTCATAAGTTTCACCTTTTTTTAATGATTTAAATATTATTCACCATCTAATATTGTATCAATTAAAGACTTTTATTTTGGTAAATATGTGGTTATGGACTTGAGAAAGAGATATTGACCATGACTTCAGTCTCAGGTCCATTTAACCATATATTCACGGAAACAAAAGTCCATAATTGATCAATATGACCTCATCAGGAAGAGTCAATGGCACCACAAATGTACAGCCAAGGGAAAAACTGGTGGATGTTTACATGTGACATTTCTAGTTAGCAAGTTCATAAGTGTACTTCAACATGCTTTAGTTGAGGAAATGATGAAACCAAACTGACCCATCCTATCTAAATTCTTAAAAAAAATTCAAAACTATCTGACGTGATGGACACTAATGTTCAGCCATTGCTAAGCTTTGTGTGAGTTGTGAGTTTCCCTGTTAACACATAACATTAAATTCAACAGCCTTGTTTTAAAGGTTGAAGTAGAATTATGTATGCACAGCGTTAAGTCAGTGTTTGCATATTCATGCTTATACATCAGGAGTTGAGTCCTAAACAGGTGACTGTCATTAAATAAAACACAAACTGTCATAAAAGTGACCATTACACTTCAGCCAAGATATCACTTTCATAGGTCATTTGCATTCTTAATGTACAATTGCTCTTTCTTAATTCTAAATACCAGGTGGCTTGAACATTTTAATTAATTAATTTTAAATATCTTCTCAATGCTTTATGATCAGGTGTCATTAAATTGAATTTTGATTTAAGAAAGTCATGTAACCACCTACACTATTGTTCCAGGTGACTGCGGCAGGTTCACTACGTGTTGTAACTATCAATTGTTCTCCTTTTATATGAGTTATGTCCCCTTGACTGCTGCAGTGGCGGGCTTCCTCAACATGTCCGAAGTATACCTAGAGGATAAAGGCATAAGACACTAAATGATTGTGTCCTTGGAGAAACATATCTTAAATAATCTTTTTCTTCACACATAAGTATTTTACATTATAGCATAATACATGAAAAATAGTAAAAAAGGATACCGTACATGCAATGCCATTAGAAATTAATTATAGATTTATGCCTGTAGTAGTAATAGAGTATAAAGTACAATGCCATTAGAAATTAATTATAGATTTATGCCTGTAGTAGTAATAGAGTATAAAGTACAATGCCATTAGAAATTGATTATAGATTTATGCCTGTAGTAGTAAAAGAGTATAAAGTACAATGCCATTAGAAATTGATTATAGATAGGTGCTTGTAGTATATGTTTTCCATTAAGAGATAAATTATTGATATGCATGCAGTATGTACATGCTAATTTCATTAAGAAATTAATTATGTATATAAATATATTGGCGTGATGATACTTTTCATTGAGAAATTGAATGTAGATATAAATGTAGTACATACTTTTCATTCAGACATTAATCATGTACTTATATGGGTGCAGTAGGGTGCAGTAATACTTCTCATTGAGAAATTTGATAGTAGATATACTTGATTGAGAAATAGTAAATTTCATATATAATTCCCTTTTAAGGAATATCTATGTTGACATTCATTTGATTTATAGTTCCTTAGTAACCAATCAAAGTTGTAGTAATGGAGAGTAATTTGTTTTATTCACATACACAAACAATCTTTTACTTAATTGAGTCGCTCTGACCAGGTGTTTAGCCAGGTGTATTTATTGCATTATAGTAGTGATACACGGATCAGTCCTACCTCAATTCAATCTGTGTCATTAAAAGGTTTAGGATATTTTTTGTATCTATCTCATGCTTTTTATTTAATTAACATAATTGTCAACTTATTTGTTTTTGTAATTCCGATGGATGATTGAATAAAATTTCATTAGTTTGAAAACTGAAATGGTGTTTCATAGGGCTGTAACGATACACCGCGGTGCACCGAAAACAGCGCTTAATTGCTTGGTTCGGTGTACGACATTTTTTTCCGTGTTTCGGTTCGGTTGGTTCGGTTCGGTTTTAAGTATTACCTGACTTTCGGAATTTAACCATACATGTGTAATGTAAAATTTGATTGGCTGGTATGATAAAAGTTGTGCAATAGCTGTTACAAAACTTTGCATAAACAAGCGTGCAACATGGCGGAGCTTCAATTAAAAACCCTCCCGCTTCCTTTCGCTTGGCTGTTTGGCAGCATTTTGGATTCCGGCTTAATGTTCCCGATGGAAAATCACTCTCCACTTGACGCATAAATTGTTTCGTAGATGTAGGTTACAAGTCAGGGAACACATCAAACATGGGGACGCATTTAAAGAGGAAGCATAACATTTCGTCATCCTGTATCATATCAAAATGTATCGTATCGTGGGTAGATATCGTGATTCGTATCGTATCGTGGCATAGGTGTATCGTTACAGCCCTAGTGTTTGAGATGTAATTATATTACATTTAAGGACAGTGAGATTATACACTGTGCATTTATTGAATTATCGTGTTGTTTCCTTTGGACAGGTAAATAGTCCTCTGTTGATATAATACTAGTTTTTATTTCACACAAAAAGTCAATAAATATTCGAAAACATTTGAATGAATATTAATTGTAAACCTTTGATCTTGTGTCTATACCAATAAAACAATTGAACACATACATACCTCTTTGGATGCTCTGTTGGTTTAAAAATGATGGATGTGGCGAGGACAATGGGAGAATAAAATCATTTGTAAAGAGCCAGAAGGAATTTATTTGACATGGAACCCCTAGTACTTGTTTTATCAGGGAGGTTTATATACTCCCAGCCCTCCTGAAGTAGTGCGGCTATTTAACATTGAAATCCAAGGCCTTTGATGTTGATCCGCTAAAGTATATCACCATTTAGGAATAATTCATTTGTCTAATGCAGGGGTCTTTAAGTGTTTGCTTGAAATGTACTCAATGCTGTTTTTATCCTCTTCATGAAAATCGAAAATCTGCATTAATTGGGTGCTTGGCAGACCTGTAGGATGAGTTGTCTGCGTCTTTCATGCTAATGTTGGAGAGTTTAGTTATATGTTTACAGAGGAAACACTTGAATTTGTTAAATTAAAAATGTGGCGGAAAAGATAAAAGAGATGAAGTTTATTGATAAATGAGATTTGTAATAATGGAAGATATAAATATTAACACAAAGTATTGATAGATGTTGACTTAGTCAATTCCACTTCGTGTGACCATTGACACCTAACAACAGGATTTTGATCCAGAAGAAAGTACTCTGTTTATTATATATTTTAGAATAATGTTCTTTAGTGCTCTAGTGCCTTTGTGGTCTCCAGCGACATGACGAGGTCAAACAGCTTTAGAGCAAACTTTCTTAGGTTTTGATAAAAGATTTTTTTTTTTATATTGACTGAAAAAGGCTTTGAGACAGCTAGTGAAGGGAGAAAGGTTTAGTAAATTAAAAAAAAATATATAAGAATCTCTGTACCACTGCCAAAAATTGTAACTCTGTGTTGGAGAATGTTTTTTTTTTCGTATGGCTAAACAGCTTTGATAAATCATTCTGCAAAGAAAACCATCCCTTGAAGGACTTTATGAGAGATAATTAAGATGAAGTAAACAAAATATGAAAAAAACAAACAGTATTTTGAGTTGAAAAAATTCAACTGAGCTAGGGATTCGAACCCTGGACTTCATATTGTCATACTATCATACTAACGGATTGTGCTACCTGGTCAATGGAAGTGTCCTGGTCAAACTGTTCTACTGTTATATCCCAATGGAACTTAAAGGGAGGTTACTGTATATACAAAAAGGAAAAAAGGAAAGTGGGACAGGGATCCTTTAAGTATGTTTTATTGTTGACCGGTCTGTTACCTGGACCTTAGCAATGTTGGGTGCCCTAGACTCTTTCTGTTTTACTTCAACATACAGTACCTTTTTATTTTTTCCTGAAGGAAAGGCTGTTTGGAACGTGGTGTTTCCAAAATTTCTACTGATTTGATAGCAAAGTTTCTATTGATTCAACATACAGTACCAATGAGCAATCATGTGAATGTTGATGTCAAGGCAGGAAATGTTAATAAACTTGTAAATCTAAGTTATAGAAATCAGACAAGTGCCCTTATATAGAAATGTGATAAATCACTTTTAAATTGTGTTCCATCATATGTCTCCTTGACTCTTCATTTATTTGTAAACTGAGATTTTAAAGTCGATTTAGCGACATTGTAATTCACCAAGATATGATTAGGCCCTGTTAGATCATCAAGTTGTCTGGTAATTAAATCGGCTTTTCTTGGTCAACATTTAGGTGTCAATTCATGAAGGGAGAGAGATTTGATCAAGGATGTATTCTGTGTAAATAAAACATATATATAACTCTCGGTGCATGTATACACTTACACAAACACTAAATAACCGGCAAAATTTAATGTGAGTTTTAACAAATTGTTTGAATAAAGATCCAATACTTTTCTTCTTACAAATTTGTAAAATAAATATGTCCTATTTGTTAGATAGTAGTAAATCTGCATGAGGGTTTGTGTCACCAAAAAAATCCTCAAGGTGTTGGTACACCAATAAAACGTACGAAATCCTCCTACTTCCACTGTTAGGAGCAGATAGCATTAGAAACCGACGCGAATATTACCCAGTTTAATTGATCTATTATTCAATTGGATTTTTCAGTTACTAATACGAAACATCTCCAAATGCAAATACATGTGAGAGATAAGATTATCAAAGTTCTTTGACCTCTTCAAAGAAAAAATGGTGAGTTTATAGATTCCGAAGTATGACAATGATCTATGTTAATTTGTTGTTTTACATTGCTATGTAGCCTTAGAAGCCATCTCATTTTTTATAGAGGAAAGCGCTCTATGGCCAGTCCCGTGTACTGCTGGAAATATTTGGTAATTGACAACCGATCCATTTATTAGCTCACCCAGCTGAAGGGTAAGTTACTGCTTATGCAGCATCTGTCATCTGTCTATCGCCCATCCTTTTCCAACTTTTCATCTGAAAGACAACTTTCCCAGAGCTGTTGAACAGATTTTGACAAAACTTCAAATGGAAAATCCTGAGGCAAAGAGACCACAACATTATGTAAATATAATGCACTGACTTCCCAGCAGAAATAGAGTTGAGGCCTAGTATGGGAAATAAGGGCAAAACTTTGATAAATGCTCAAGGTTACGGGGACTTTATAAGTGTCGTATTAAAAGCCGGGGACAGAGGGTTTGGATCTGATTTGTGAATTAAAGCAAATCTTTAAAGGACTCCTTCCTCAATATGAGTAAAGGGATATAAACCTAATTTGGTGTCAAGGTAGTGGTGTTGTATCAATGAAGCTTGTGGCACCCTGGTAGAATGGAGTTGGGTCTAAAAGCAAAATAAGGACCATTTCAGGGAGATTTAATGAGAAGGATACATGGACAAGGAGACTCAAAAGAGGCTAAGGTGTTACAAATAAAATGAAGCTAACCTGGGGGAAGAGGACATGTAAGGATCTTGGATTATTGAATTAAGTGTCCTATCAACAGCTGAGGTCATTGAAGGATGCGCCTATATGTGTGTAGTGTTGGAGGTAATATGTAGGTGTATGTTTGCCTCCTGTGTAGTAGTGTAGGGCCAATGCCTCAATTAGAGTGCTACCTCAGTGAAATATATCATGTTGAAGGCACACTGCAGCATATTCATCCCGGTCACACAAGGTAAATTAGGGGAATGTTGCATTTCATACTTTTGTAATACATACATTGTACCATATCAACAAAATTTAGGTAAGACAAAATTAGCTTTGGAGCCTGGGGCTCTTGTTTAGAACTCATAGTTCATGTATTTACATGACGTTTGGTACATATATGTGTAGAACAATCTTTTCCATCATGTTTGATGCAACTTCTTGTCACTAGTAGTGATGTTGAGGTATGTTTTCCTTAAATTTTGGTCAGTGTTTGGT